GAGAGGTAGGAGGAGAACCACCGAGTGCCTCCCACTCCCACCTCCTGCAACCATCGCAGAAGGATACCATGGTCGATGGTATCAAAGGCCGCTGAGAGGTCAAGAAGCACAAGGATAGAAGAGTGACCCCCCTATCCCTGCTCGCCAGAGATCATCGATCAGCGCGACCAAAGCAGTTTCCATGCTGTAACCAGGCCTGAAACCGGATTGAAAGGGATCCAGATAATCGGTTTCATCCAAGGACCGTCGGAGTTGAAAGGCCACCACTTTCTCAACAACCTTCCGAACAAAGGGGAGGTTGGAGACTGGACGATAGTTACACAAGATGGATCCAGAGAAGGTTTCTTCTTTCTACATAATAAATATTTCTTCCCTTCAGCTCCAGGGTGATGGGATTAAGGCATGATAGTATTAGCCCTTTACCCCACTCACCACATGGCACCTGGAAACTCAAACTTGGGCCCATGGGAGTCTGACAATCAATCAGAATACATTTCTTACCCAGGAACAGGAAACAGGTGAGGCCGAACAGAGAGTATAAAGCCAGGAACTTCCAGCCCTGCTGGATTTTCTTCTTCTTCACCCAACATTGAAGCATGCGATCACCTTTTCTGTTCAGGACTCAAGCCATGTGGTCCTATCCACCATTAAACCATCTTTCCAAGCAGCCTCCATGTCTCTAGTGTCTTTCCCCCCACTTGGAGCTGAACCCAGAAGGACATTTTTTCCAACATTTGGCACCCGAAGATGGGACTCCAAGCGAACCTAACCAATGGATATAGCCCAGGTAAGCCTCCCATGCTGGCACAGGCCCCATTGAGTCTGCGGGTGGATTTTCCTGGACCGTAGCCATTTGGAACTAGGTTTTAAAGGGGTTTTGAATTTGAGCTCAAAGGCTGCTTGGAAAGAAGGTGAGTACCTCTAAATTTTAATTTTCTAAAATTTAATTTTAAAGCATGGCTAAGCGTGGGAAAGTGTGCATGCCTGCATGTGTGCGCGTGATGGGATCCTTCTCCCAATCACAGCTGGATCTTGCTTCCTCTGTGTGTTTTACCAAGAGAGCCTGGAAAATATTGAGGTCAGGCCAGAGCACAGGATCTTTTGTTAGGGAAAGGAGAGTGTGTGTAAAAATGGGATGGGAAAGAGAATGAGAGAAAGTAAGCAGATGGGAAGAAAATTTGTTGTTGTTGTTGTTGCTTTTGTCCTGTGAAAGCAAAAAAAGCAAAGTCCCATTGTGTGTAAAGAGTGTAGGAGGTGCTCATACTCACTGCCAACAGTTACAGAACCCCCTCCTGGGAAACTGTGTGAAGGCAGCAGGTCCTCTGGCCTCTTTCTTTTTTGACTCGAAAACTGATGGCCAAGATTCCCTGCGAAAGAGGGGTGCATACTCTAAAAGGGAACAGAGTCCTCGCAGACCCTTTTGTTCTGAAAACTAGTAGTGGCAGGCCCAGCTGAGCCAAAGTGAGCCCCACATCTGAGCAGGATCATGGGGAGCATCGGAAACCCCTCTTGGGGAACTGTTAGAATAGGAAAAAGCTAAAAGTGTGTGGAAAATGGGCTTTGCTGAAAGATGACACAAGGATGATTTGGTTAATAAAGGTACTTTAAAGAAAAGGGAAAATGTTGGTGTTTGTTTTTATCTTTTTCTCTCTCTCTGTCTTCTATCTAACCACGTGGTTT